TGTGTCCAGCCACCCCTCCCCTCGTTAGAGCAGGGCATCGCTACGACAGAAGCAACAAAAGCAGCCTTTTTCCCATTTTGTTGCGGGGGTCCTCTACGAAAATCAATGTGTTGAACCCTTGCACGGAGCGCCGGCAAGTCCGCGGGTTGTCCCTGGTCCCAAACTCCCAGTTTATCCGAATAATATGGTTGCAAAGTAGCTGCGCAATCCCTTCAATTTTCTACTGCATAGTTTACCTGGTTTATATTGTCAGCTCGCTGCCCCCCGCCGTGACTGGTCGGATGTTACCGGGCGTGATTTGAATAATAGCCCATCTGAGAATATAGCTTTCTGGGTCTTCGTCTGGCCCTTGCATCATGGTGGATGCCAGCACTCGAAGGTGACAGCGCCCTAATTCTGCTCCTAGGGTCACGAATAGGGCCGCCCCCTTGTTGCGATTTCCGGCTAGCACCCTATCGACCATTCCCGTGACGGACCGCGCGCCACAAGGCGTAACCAGCCGCTCTAATTCTCCTTGGGTTACATTTTCTTTTGCGGCAAGCTTACCTGCCTCAACTTTCCAATCTGCAACGTCTTCTCTGTCGGGAGGTCCCAACATCTTTGCCATAGCCGCCAAATCTGCGAAAGGGGATGCAGTAGCCGTGGTACCTGTAACTGGTCCCTGGGGATCTGCCGCGGTAGCCGCACGGGTCACTGCAGCTACTCGGGGCGCATCATCCCCCCATATATCTCCGTCCCATCACTCGGAGGGATCCAGCGGATCATTTCTGCAGCCTGCGACTTCTTCGTCCAACCTCCATCCCTGTCCCGTAACTACAGCTATTTGACGACTGGCAAAACCCAGCTTCGTTTTGAGCTGTTTAATAATCCCTTCGCATCTGTCGTGACCCCCTGGGGCATGCCCATGCTCCAGTGTCATTTTCTTGACCGTAGCCAATAATACTTGATTTTCCTGTTCGACTTTCTGTTTGCTACTTAACTGATCTTCCAAGTCTCGCTCCTTCTGTTTATTTTCCCGCACAGCGTCCCGTGCGGCCCCTATCTGCGTCTGTAAACTCTGGGCTAACGCCTTCCACCCATCTCTGTCCCCCTGCATGTCGCTTAGCTGTTTCTGCAACTGGTCGCATTTCATGGTCTCCTCCGCCTTTCGCTGCGTTGCCTTCTTCCAGGTTTCCCATAAGAGCCACAATGCTGGTCCGCACTGCTGTGCAGGGGCCATCTGCTTATACAGCAAGCAATAGCATTCAAATTTAGTCTCCAAGTCTGGAATTCCAACAATGTCACTAATAGCTCGAGAAGTCCATGGATTGTGACCGTGGCCCTGTAACAGTTTCCTTAACATGGAGGGATCATCCACATCCTCCCATGACGAGCTCGGGGAATCCGATCCCTTACTCTTATTCTTTCCCCAAAACTTAATCATATTGGCCTGCCGCTGTATCCTTCAGGACAATGACCACAAGATCAATTAAATCAGTCAAAAAAGCGGCCTTCCGAGCTCTAACCTGTAACCGCCAGGCCGTGTGCGTGCCTTAGACAAGCAGCGTGGATCTCACGCTCTCCCCCAATTAAACGTTGCACAACTTACCAACTGCTCAGCATGACAAGCACGGTCTATAAGGGGGATAAGGCAAGATGCCGTGCTTATTGACCAAGTTACCTTGCAGAGCGGACATTTGCACACGCACTCGCTCCCAGCTCCTCTGCGGATGTTATAGTTACCAAAGTCCGTTGCTCGGCACTACGCGAGGTGGCCGGCCTAGGAGTAAGAGATAAGGAGCGGGGTCTCGTCCGATGCGCGTCCATGCTCCAGGGAGGTACGCAGGGTGTGACCCAATTTCTCGATGCGAACTCTCTCCCCTTTATAGGGGGCATGCAGTTGGGTGGCCGGTTCTGCCTTTCCCGACTTCCTGCCTTTGTTTGGCCTTCAGGATTATTTCCCTCTGGCAAACAGACGAGCTTACCGGGCAGCAATCTGAGGGTTGTCCTTCAGGTGTCCCGCTTATCTCTTATCTCCTTCCTGTGTCTGGTACGAGCTGGGTCTTCGCTGGAATTTCTGTTCGCCCCTCGGTTACTTACTTGTGAGCACGCAGTGTGCAACGCTGTCCCAGTCATGCCACGCTCGTTCGTCCACGCGCTCCAAATGTCACAAAGAAACGCTCACTTTGCCATATATATAATCCATAGTGACAAGCTGAATTCGTAATAGCCAACTTAAAACCGCTGCATTACGATGGGGTGTTTTTCCAGGTTTATATCGTTAGAAAATGTGTTGCGGTTTCTTAGTTAAGAAGAAAATCAGCTCAGAAAGCAAAGTACGGGTAATCAGTGAGGATTGTCCACATTTACAACTCACTCAAGTAAGAGTAAAGAGCTGGGCAGAAAGTGAACGCAGCTCGAGAGCACCCTCGGCACGGATGTCACTTAAATCGCAATAATGTGGGCAGATCTGAAAGGATCCAGTCGGACGAATCACTCGGGAGAAGCTGGCAGACACGGTTCTTTGGGTAAATCTGATGTCTTTTATTAGACCAACAAAATAGTTGGGGGAAAAAATTCTTAGCATGCTGTTGGGTTTAAAAGCCCCCTGTCCCAGGGGAGACCAAGTCCTTCTTCCACCCGGCGCAGCTGGTCCTCGGTGTCCGGCAACGCTCGGGGAGCATTGCTTTTTCTAAAAGCAGGCTCCAGCGTCTGCACGGCCACCGGGGACCTTCTAGACAGCCCTCCCAAAGAGAGAGGGCGATCTTCATGGTTGATAGATTTGCCGGCAGCAAACACATCCTGTGTAACATCCCTGATTGCCTCTCGGACTGAGCGTGTCCTTCAAGGGCCAGGAATGCCCGCTCCCGCTCCCGCTCCCGAAAGAGATGAGATGGTCGCATGGGGTTGGTGCAGCTGATACCGACTTGTCCCCCACCCACCCCTGGCAGGCAGATTATTAAGCGCAGCAAATAATCCACCCAGCTTCCTTAAGGGGCTGGGCCTCTCTGCGGCTCCTCCCAAAAGGAAAACCCCTGAAAATCTTGATTCATTTCTTTATTTATTTTAGATTTCCGCATCCCATGAGCCCCTTCCCCTCCTGTTCTGACCGTTGCACTGCGCTCCCTCTGCTATCCCTAGGGCGCATGACCACTTATCTCACCCACGCCGGGAACTGCTTGGGCAGCAGCTACAATTGGCAGGGCTCCATTTGCTAAGTCTAAGACCATGCAGCAGGAGTGTTACCAGTTAATAAGGACTGTTTATTTCGAGATCTCGTTCTGTTCTGCTCTTGCATTCCGGGGGGGCACAGCAAGCGCGTGGGGGTCTCTTGGGTGGTTACGGCATCGCACATGGTTGCGTGGTGTCGACGGGTGGAGATCCTGTGCTGGAAACGGGGGCGGTACCTGGGTTGTAGCCGTATTGGTCTAGAGGGAAAGGCAATCAGGACTCGTTGTAGAGGCGAGATCTTTTATTAGACCAGCAAGATTTTTGCAAGAAAAAAATAATGTCTTTAATTGCAAGCTTTCGGGCACAAAACGCCCTTCATCAGGCATCGGAGAAAAGATTGCGAACGCTCTCCTGGGCAGAAGTGAGAGTTCGTATTTCAGAGCATTGCACAGAGGAGTCTGGACAGAAAACTCCTCCGGGAAATTGGGGTGCGCGTCCTAAGCAAGGAAATATGGTAACAGCCATTTCTGGCTCCCGGGGCAAAAGGGACGCCCTGCCTGCTGGTGGTGCTGGAAGCTGATACTGGGTAACTGGCATTTTGGGGGGAAAGATTTCACCCTCCCCCTTTGTCCCTTTTAAAAACAAGGTGTTTTATGCGAGTAAATACGGTACTCCTTTTGGCCTCGTGACCCCGCAGTCCTGTTCCGCCCGGGGTGCAAGCGCTGCCCGCCCGCAGGGGCTGCCGCGAGAAACACACCAGGCCTAAGAAAAAGTTATTTAACAGTTTGCTCCAGGTGGAGGGGCTGGGGCTCGAACCCCCAACCCTAGCGCAAGAGGCGAGAAAAGGGGCGGGCCTACACAGGGCGTCACCATTGGCTGAGAGCGGCCGCGATTGACGCGCCTCTTGGCCACTGGAGGCCGCCCGTCGGCAGGGCACGAGTGTGTGATGGAAGCGCCGTTGCTATTGGCTGAGGCTGGACGGAGCGGCTCGGC